ATCTGAAAAAAATTAAAAGGAACCTGCATCATTATATAATAAGTACGTACCACAAAAATATATATATATATATATAGAGGAGTCTGGCTTAGAACGTGAACACGAATAGTTTAGTTTATTACTCGTAACGCGTCTTAATTAAATTCTAGTGCCGACTAAACTAATTTTAATTCTGTTACATGCAGGTTACTTTTGTTTACAAAAAAAGAGTCTTAAGATTATTCTCAGGTTTGACAAATTTTACTATAGTTTAATTGACTTAGTACCCTATTTTTTTAGTATTTCTAATCTATGGTGAAAAACCAAACCGACATTAGAGGAACCTAAACCAAACCAAAATTAGAAGAACCAAAACCGAACTAAAATTGACTAACAGCCGAATGAATCTTATACTCACGATCAAAAGTATCTGAAACCGAATCAGGAATATAATGTATATCCAAAATATCTTAAACACAATTAATTCCTCAAAATATTAATTAATTATAGACCAAAAACTAAAGAAACTCTGAAAATATATAAATATCTGAATGTATAAATATACTGAACTGCATGAATTAAATTTATAATATATGGAGTTTTGAATGGTTACAGTAGTTTAAGCAAACAAAACTGTCTACAAATTAGATCGTTTTTTATTTACTATTCACTAATTATATTTATAGTAGTATATATAGATTAAAACAAAAAAAAACTACTGCAAACCATCTCTATATTAGTTCAAGAGAAGTACAAAAATGAAATGGGCGGGTAGATTAAAAAAATTATTCAAAATTACCCGATTCGGAATACATGGATACTTAGATTATTGGATCTTAATTTGGGTATGGATATAACCCATTAATGAATAATTTCGAAAATATTTAAAACAAATATTCCAGTATTTTAGGAAACTTATTAACTAGAAATGATACATTTCTATATTTTATGAAACTATATTAATTATAAATAAGCAGCTCCTATATTTTAGGAAACTATAAAAATGATTAATTACAAAAGATCTCAATCTTTAACAAATATTCCAAATATTAAATATAGAGATTTATACATTTTTTAAAAGAGAAATTCGATTAGTCGATTACCAATTAAAACACATTATTAAATCTAATTTAATATGATAACTTAAATTGAATAATTATTTGGAATTAATTAAATAGTTTTTAAAATATGAAAAAAATTCAATATATAAAGCTATACAAAAACGAGAATACTATAATTATATAAAATATTTTTCATTACTTTGTCATTTTTCCTAATACGTAAAATGAAAATGAAAAAAATTGGAAAGATATTCTGATATTTTCTCATATCTCTATTAATTTAATTTACTTAAAAAGGAAAAAAAATCTTATAACATTAGCATAATTAATGAAAATTATAAAGATCCGTGTATATCTAAAAATAATTATTCTAAAATTTGGGATTTATTTTTTGAC